CATTATAACTCAGAAACACTTCAATGCTACATTTCAAATGTTTACAATCCATCACTAAATTCATGGCAAACCAATTTTAACATCATGCAATAACACTGAGACGACATTAGTTGCATTGAACTGATCTTTTTAATAAGTTGTACAATGTAGTGAAACATGGGCTTGAGCTTCACTGAGGATCCTTGTCATTCTGACAGGGAGGCAACCTGCAGTTATTACACTTCGTGTTTTGAGATATGTGTAACTCTGTTAATATAAAACCCACACTGCTCAAACTTCGTTACTTTTCCTAAAATTAGTATATTTATTTATTTTGGGGCGTGGGGAATGAAGAGAAAAAATATATGAGCATTTTATGAGCATGGGATTTTGACCCCTCATATAAACATATGCATAATGCTGCGCTATACTTTGCAGCCACACGCCGTTGCCAAGCAACGCTTATTGTTTAGGTCCTTTGATAAGCAGGCAGTCATATCATTAACTAGAACTAGCTAGATCTGATAGATTTGGACATAAACGCGAGTGAAGTCTAACCGGACGCGAGAGAGAGATCAGATCAGCTGCTGCTGACGGAGAACACGCAGCTCTGCATGATCACAGCTCCGCCGCTGTGACGGACCGTTGAGTGGAGCAAAATACACTAAGAGTTAGACCTAACACACTTAGCTAGTTCATTTACTCTGGAACTAGCTAAACTAGTTATACATATATTTATGATTTACTGTCGGGTCACTCATTACAGGTTCAGCGAGCTGCACGAGACTGACGGGCTGTCAGGAGAGGGAGAGGAAAAGAGAGCACCCCGTTTATTTTCCCATTTTATTATCCAGAGTTTCTGTAAACCTTTGAATAAAGTAGTTAATCTACTATTAGTAGTTTGTTTAAATGCATTAAGTTTATGTTTATTTTTTTCATTAACATAAAATAAATCTCACGTACCCCCTGTAGAACTCCAACGTACCCCTAGGGGTCCGCGTACCCCCATTTGAGAACCACTGCTCTAAGGTCATTTCTGCAGGCCGCAGGGCAAAACGGTTCGTGTTATGCATGCACCCTTTTCCCCCAGGACTCATCAATGGCATTGCCTGTTCGCCCACGACCCCTAAACAACACAGAACAGCTGTGTGCCTTTATGGCCCTGACCGGCTCTACCAGAGGGTTGAATAAATGGTATTTAGCAAACGCCTCTCTTCCAGCACCATGTGAGCACATGGCGAACGCCACACTGCGCGAAATAAACTCCACCGAGATGATGACTAACTCCTTCGAATTGTACGACCCGGTGGCACGCGTCCACCCCAGCCGTCTAGAAAACCTTACCCATAGTCTCTGCATTAGTAGAAGGAAAAACCGCATAGGCTGACACCTTGGCACAACCACGGGTTGCACTCGTATCATAAAAAACACATGCGGCGCTGGAAGCTTCGATCTCACAGACTGTCTGGTAAAAGGACTTCCCGATAGAATCAATTCGTCCCAAGCATTCCCTAATGTCACGCATACCTCTCTTCTCCTAGCATGGCCTACCGATGCTGGGGCAGGGGCTCCGCAAGACTATGTTTGGCTGTGCGGAAACAAGTTATATCAAGTCTTAGCACCCGTTTGGACGGGCACGTGCACCTTAGTGGATTTAACTCCAGCAATCACCGTTCTCGACTCATTGATGCATACCACACACCACTATCCAGAATTCAGACACCCCTACCACCATAGGGCTAAGAGGGCTTCAATGACATCTCAGGGCGAGAAGGGTTTCAGCGGGGCGTTCCCCTGGTGGGGCACCGTGAATAACGCTCATAATATAGACAAAATACACACACGATAGGAAAACCTCACTTTCGAAGTTACTCAAGGTTTTCAGGCGCTGAATCCGTTTATGGTAGCAACTAGAAATATGCTAATGCAGCATCAATTTGCTCTAGACATCCTGTTTGCCTATGTCACGTTATTGGAGACTCTTGTTGCACATACATTCCAGACATATCAGAGAAGATGACTCGCACCATAAAACACCTTAACGCACTTCTGGCAGACATGAAGGCTGACGATGTGGACTACGACCCTGCAGGCTGGGACTGGTGGTCCTGGCTCACATCGGGAGGGTGGGAAGGCTGACTGGCCAGAATAGTCACGCCACTCCTCACCATCATAGCCTTGCTCCTCTGCTGTACATGCTGTGGAGCTCCCCTCATGAAGAAATGTTTTTCTAGTATGATCTCCTCTGCATTTGTACAATACACCGCTCTCCCTCAAACCACTGACAAAGTTACGGCCAACGCAGATTCAGCCCCCACTGATTCTGACACTGAAGAGTCGGACACCGAACTGTAAAATTGTGTGTAAAATTGCCATTCCCTCGTTTCAGTATTCATTTGCTTTCCACATACGGAGTCTGTCCTCCACAAAAACAGCCACTTTCCATGATATGTTTATGATGTGTTTACTTAAACCAGCGATGGAGTGTATTCATCACTGCCACAATGAAAGTGGTGAATTATGTGGCGAGTATTTTAGATAATAAGCAGAGTTGTGCAGCTCTATTTATTGACCTATCCAAAGCTTTTGACACCGTCGATCATCGCATCTTAAAGCAGAGGCTACTCAGTATCGGCATATCCAGCCATGCAGTGGGTGGTTTGTGAACTACCTCTCTGAAAGGTCCCAATGTGTTCACTTTGATGGGCTGTCTTCTGAGTGGTTAAACATTGCTAATGGTGTTCCTCAAGGTTCTGTTTTAGGTCCACTATTATTCTCCATCTACATCAACAGTTTAGGTGAAAATGTGGATGAAGCTACTTTACATTTCTATGCGGATGATACCGTGATGTACTGTGCAGGTCCCTCCATTCAGGAGGCTGGTGTTAAATTACAGGCTGTTTTTAACATTATTCAGACTCAGCTCTCTGAACTTAAGCTTCTTTTAAATGTTGAGTAAACCAAGGTAATGCTCTTTTCTAAAGCTAAAAAGACACCAGAGCCTGTTTTAGATATTGTAACTACGCAAGGAACAAAACTTGAAGTTGTTGCCTGTTACAAATACCTTGGTATCTGGCTTGATGATTGTCTCACTTTTAAACTTCAGGTCAATAACCTGCTTAAAAAGCTGAGGGTTAGGACTAGGTTTCTTCTACAGGAACAAGTCCTGTTTCTCGCTTGAGGCCAGGAAAAGGCTCTGTGACCTTTTTACCTGTGCTGGACTATGGTGATTTGATCGATATGAATGCACCTGCCCATTGCCTGGTCAAGTTAGATGCTGCGTATCACAGCGCACTGAGATTTGTGACAAACTGTAAAGCATTAACCCATCACTGTACCCTGTATGCAAGGGCTGGTTTGCTTTCACTAACTGTACGGAGGCTCAGTCACTGGTACATTTTTATATACAAAGCCATGTTAGGGAAACTTCCATCCTACATCTGCTCCCTGATCTCAGGGAGAATTGTAAGTGGCTACTGCCTGAGATCGAATGCTGTGGTTTTATTAAATGTGCCAACTGCTAGAACTGTCTTAGGGAAGACAGCTTTTAGATGCGCAGCTCCTCTGTCTTGGAATAGTCTGCAAATTAAATGGAAACTGAACAATCTGGTGCCACTAAATGTTTTTAAAGCTCGGTTGGATGCTACTCAATCGGAAGCTGTTGGTACCTGTACATGTGGATAGTTATGTAAATGATGCTGTATGATGTCCTTTTGTTGTTCTGTTTATGTTTTTATGTTTCATGTGGAACTACTTGAGGTCTCCCTTGAAAAAGAGATCAATGATCTCAATGGGATTTATCTGTATAAATAAAGGTTTGAAATGAAATGAAATTCATTGATATCAGTCTATCCTGTCATTTGTTTTATTTTCTTGATTGATCAAATATGATCAAAAGGGGGGAATGTAGTGGCAATTTCTTATGTTACCTTATATGCTAAAAGCATTGTCTAACACTACTGTACCATTTCTTCATATATGCTGTTTCCTCTCTTACTCGAATGAGGGTTATTATTCTCAAGCGCTTCAAAGCCACAGAGCTGGCAGACTATGTTGAAACTACTCCTCTTCACACTAAGTTTGAACTTCCATATTCTGATAACTGTTGTACTTTCTACAGCTCAAGGACACAGGTGTTTAATAGCAATATGAAAGCAGATTTCTGAGGCGTTCCGCCATGCTACACAAAACTCTGTCTGCCCGCCCTATCTTGTAAGCTTTGCTATTCTGTGACTATTGCGCTCCTGCAGACTATCCTATACTCTGTGAGACCTGTGCCTTTGAAGCTTCAAATAAATAACCAGAAGACAACGCTGCCTGCTTTCACCAGTTTATTATTGATTACTCTCATTGTACATCTTTACAGTATTGACGAGTTTAAAATATCCACAACAAAGGCACCCCCACCACTCTGCACTTTTATACAGCAGAACAATTCAAACAGCAGAACCACAAGGTCTGCCCTAAGAGGGGACTGTGTAGCCCCTCTTAGGTCCAGTTCCTTTGGTAAACACGGTTTCTCTGTGAGGGCATCAACACTCTGGAACACAATACCAATACAGATAAGGAATAACACCTCCTATCATACATTGAACCACTATCTTAAGAACTGGCTTTTAAGCAATCAAAAATGTGAACTTTTCACTGTATCATAGTACGATAGTATGGCAACGGCAGTTTTTCTGTATTTCCTTTCTCCTGTAATATGACTTGATAGCTTTAAACTCGGCACACTGAGCTCTGATTGGTCAGCAGGCGGTGCTTTCACTGAGTTGATCTCTTAGCCTTCAACCTAACCTGCTCTGGACCAGGGGCATGTACTACGAAGCCGGATTTTCACTTAGCGGGCTAACTTCAGGGAAAACTCTGGGTTTCCGGTCCTACGACGCTGGTTCTCTTTTTAGATAGATCTCCATGGTAACTTATGCAGAAAATTAGTATTTGTACTCCACTACTTCCCACCTCTGGTTTTCACATGCTTCCTGTTTTCCACCGCCAGGTGAATAATGTGGACTACATACCTGGGAGGCCCCGGTCCCCTTGGTCCCCTTTGGGCCCCGTGATGCCCTTACAGTGGGAGCACAGGCAGGACGGAGGGATCTGATCCAGCGGTATGTCGGGCAAGCTCATCAGGATGGAGCAGATCGTAGGGTTCGGCATGGGGGGGGAATTCACCGCGCCTTCGGGCATGTAGGTCGTGTTGGGCATGGTAAGGTGCGGGGTCCCGAAGTCCCACTCCGTCATGTTCATGTCCGCCGGGTCCAACATGCGGTGCCAAGGGCGGTCACTGTCGGTGCCGTTAAGATGCAAGGCTGAGTGGAGGGAGGGCAGGAGGAGGAGTCCCAGCAGCCTCCACAACATCTGCAGGAGGAAGGTTTGTTTATCACGTGTCACATGACCGTTTTATTATTCTACTATTTTAATAATTACACAGTTTATACATCCGAAAAACAAACACAATTAGTAGAAGCATGAGGACAGAAAGCAGAGGTCGCCCTCCCGTTAGTCATCCAGTTGCAGGATAAAGAAATAGTTCAGATAATTCAATACGCACACATTACATTACATTCCATGTTAGACGCTTTTATCCAAAGCGACTTACATACTCAGTACTGTGGACAATCCCCACAGGAGCACTTTGGGGTGAAGGGTCTTCAGGGAGACAACGACATGCTGACTGCAGTGGGGTTTAAACCTGTGACCCCCTGATCCCAACACCAAGGCTCTGTCCACTGCGCCACAGATAAACTACATTCTATACATACACATACATATGTTCACATATACATACATACACCCATCTCCAGGGTGAAAATAAAATAATTAAGTAAAAACTATTTAAAAAAACTATTCCTACAAGTCCATGTTCGAATAAAAACACAGTTTCATCCTATTTATATATAAACTATGATAATTAAGATCATTATCATATATCCATATAATCTGTTTTTATCTATTTTTAAGTGAAGCCAATGACCGGGAAAAAATATATATATTTGGTTTTCTCTAAAATAAACATTACTATAAATCTATTCACGCTAGAAATACATTAAATGACTGCACTAGAATACAAACATTACATGCATTGATGAAGATGAAGATGGCGCCGTGTCTCTAGCTCCAACTCTGCATTGTTTTCGTTATACTTGTTATGTTGCATCGTTGGAGGAGCTCGGGTCAGAAGCATTTCATTGCCTTTTCTAAACTGTAGCTTTGTGCATATGACAATAAAACCTTTGCATCTTTACAATACATGTAATAATGTAGAATACAAATAATTAATACACACATAAATGTTTACTCTTACTCAAGTACAATAACTGAGTACTTCTACTTTCACTCAAGTACAATATCTGAGTACTTCTACTTTTACTCCAGTACAAGAACTGAGTACTTCTACTTTCACTCAAGTACAATAACTGAGTACTTCTACTTTTACTCAAGTACAATATCTGAGTACTTCTACTTTTACTCAAGTACAAGATCTGAGTACTTCTACTTTTAATCAAGTACAAGATCTGAGTACTTCTACTTTTACTCAAGTACAATAACTGAGTACTTCTACTTTCACTCAAGTACAATATCTGAGTACTTCTACTTTCACTCAAGTACAATATCTGAGTACTTCTACTTTTACTCAAGTACAATAACTGAGTACTTCTACTTTTACTCAAGAACAAGACCTGAGTACTTCTACTTTTACTCAAGAACAAGACCTGAGTACTTCTACTTTACTCAAGTACAATAACTGAGTACTTCTACTTTTACTCAAGTACAAGATCTGAGTACTTCTACTTTTACTCCAGTACAAGATCTGAGTACTTCTACTTTTACTCCAGTACAAGATCTGAGTACTTCTACTTTTAATCAAGTACAAGATCTGAGTACTTCTACTTTTACTCCAGTACAAGATCTGAGTACTTCTACTTTTACTCAAGAACAAGACCTGAGTACTTCTACTTTCACTCAAGTACAATATCTGAGTACTTCTACTTTTAATCAAGTACAAGATCTGAGTACTTCTACTTTTACTCAAGAACAAGAACTGAGTACTTCTACTTTCACTCAAGTACAATATCTGAGTACTTCTACTTTTACTCAAGAACAAGACCTGAGTACTTCTACTTTTACTCAAGAACAAGATCTGAGTACTTCTACTTTTACTCAAGAACAAGATCTGAGTACTTCTACTTTTACTCAAGTACAAGATGTGAGTACTTCTACTTTTACTCAAGTACAAGACATGAGTTCTTCTACTTGTACTCAAGAACAAGACCTGAGTACTTCTACTTTCACTCAAGTACAATATCTGAGTACTTCTACTTTTAATCAAGTACAAGATCTGAGTACTTCTACTTTTACTCCAGTACAAGATCTGAGTACTTCTACTTTCACTCAAGTACAAGACCTGAGTACTTCTACTTTCACTCAAGTACAATATCTGAGTACTTCTACTTTTACTCAAGAACAAGACCTGAGTACTTCTACTTTTACTCAAGAACAAGATCTGAGTACTTCTACTTTTACTCAAGTACAAGACCTGAGTACTTCTACTTTTACTAAAGTACAAGATCTGAGTACTTCTACTTTTACTCAAGTACAAGATCTGAGTACTTCTACTTTTACTCAAGTACAAGACATGAGTTCTTCTACTTGTACTCAAGAACAAGACCTGAGTACTTCTGTACGTCTGCCCTCACCTGTTGCTCATTGTTTCTAAGTATTTGACTATATGTATTTGAAACACGCTGTGCAGGAACTACAGATGAACTCTGGTTCACAGCGATGTTAATAAATGTTCACCATCCCCGATAAATATAAGCAAAGACCGTGAGAGTAAGAGGTTAGGGGAACACTCACCGCTCGGTCGGCGTGGCGCAGCATCGTCTTTCTGTCTGAGGAGGATTGTTGAGAAGATGGGCAGCATCCAGCTTTGATCCATTTATAAACCTCGCCCAAAACAAAACTCCTTTCACCCGGACAAAAGGCTGAAGATGAGGAGGGCGAGGAGTGTCTTCGTATTGTCCCCATGAAGAAGAACTGGGTCTTCTCCCTGTGACCTCCTCCACCAGCAAACTGCAGCACTATATTCCCAGCCGAAAGAAGAGACTGTTTATCTCTCCATCTTTCTCCACCCTCCTTTCTCTCCAGGAAACTGGATTCTCTCTTTCATTTGTACTCTAGTTTCCAGCACTGTGAACCCGCAAATGTCGAGTACCCCGAAGATTTATGTAAGAAATGTATGGAAGAAGAATAAGAAGGAAGGAACCACTTAATAGTCATTTTGTACATTCTGCATTTGACCCCTCCGAGTGTTAGGACACACACACACGCACACGCACACGCACACGCACACGCACACGCACACACACACACACACACACACACACACACACACACACACACACACACACACACACACACACACACACAGTACAAGACCTGAGTACTTCTACTCAAGATCATACTATCAAGATTATACACAAGATCTCCTTTACATCCTAGTGTTAGGAGCAGTGGGCTGTCATATGTACGGCGCCCAGGGAGCAGTGTAGGGAACAGTGCCTTGCTCAGGGACACCTCGGTAGCACTTTGTTTTTCCGGGGTCTTGAACCGGTGACCTTCCGGTGGCAGTTTTAACCAGAAAGGGGCCATATGTGTATGTGTTCTCTCTGTGGGCTGATTTTGTTGAGACCTTTGGATATAGAAAGCACAAGATGAAAGTTATTACCTCGACTGTGGACGATTCATTTTCAAATATATAAGCAACCTGTCCAATCCAAATGATCCAGAGTCCCCTTAATCTTCCAAATCGTCCCAAAATTCATCAAAATCAGCCAACAGAGTACAATTATGGCCACTTTCTGGTTAACACTGACATTGTTGATCCTGAAAATGTCAGAAATGGGTTCAGCATCCTCAATTACCCCCAAAACCACTCCAGAACGGTCCAAATCGGCCAAGTCCATTATCTAACTATTGTCCACGTCCAGTAGGCTATAATGCTAATTAACTCAACTCTGGCTAATGGTGCTAATGGCCCAAGAGATGCAGGTTAGCATCCGGCAGTTTCTATGTACGGGGAACCCTACTATATATTGATCTCATTACACTTTGGGGTACTCTATAACCTATAATAAGTTTATCAGAAACAGTTTGGATTTTAAAAAGTACGATGTTTTACGCAAATAAAGGAAATGTAAACGTCCTTTTCTTGAGTTCTGTTAGGGTCAGGGAGGAAAAGAGAGACAATCATTTAAAACCAAACTTATTTTTTTCAGGTTTCTAACAAATCCCAAAAGAAAACCTGAACGTTCTGAGAGTTATCCACACATTCAGATTCAGAAAACTTTATTGTCCATTAAATGTACACATAATGGACATTTCGCCACACAGTACAACAGTTAAGGTTTTATGTATTCCCCTCCTCTCTCACACTGCTGTGTACACTCGAGTAATCTAACCCTCAGAGCGCTCACAAAGAACAGCCTACTTTCATTATTACAGCTCCTCATGGGATCATTTACGTGATCAAAGTGATACTAATTACAAGCATGAGCAGAAACACGCAGGTGACGTGAAATGCACGTGTACATTTTCAACTGAGGCATAACATGTTGAAATTCCACTCCTTTTGCAGGTGGTTCATAATGTTTTGCAAAAAGATAGTTCATTAAATGTGAACATTTCCAGAATGTTTGCACTAAAACAAAGGACACATTGTGTTGTTATTTATAGGTTATTATGCGGATCTCGGCCTTTGCATCTGTTTCATCAAACATTGAACTAGTCCAGCCAACATTAGCTTTACTGTTAGTTTTAATTCATTGTAAAATTGGATTTATATTGATAACTGTACTAGTATTTATATTTATCTGTATTTTGATCTGTTTGAATTGTTATGCTTTATGAGGTGTTTTAATGTTTACATGTATTGTGTACCTGCCAAGGAACTGCAGATGGAAATGAGCTTTCAATCTGACATCTCTTCTCTTTTTGAGATGAACTTGTTCAATAAAGATATATAACCATAACAATCGACTGTCTCAATGTGTCCCCTGAACTCAAATGTGTTTAGCTCTAAAACCTGACTCTCCCTCGGGTGACATGTTTGAGTCGCTGCCGTCCTGCGAGCAGAGGTAATCAGAGTCACCCAGAGGTGGGAAATACTGGAGTACAAATACTTCGTTACTGTTACTGTTAAGTACATGTTTCTGGTATCAGTACTTTACTCCACTACTTTTTACTTTGACTTCTTACATGTTGAACTCAAATACCTGTACTTTCTACTTCTCACATGTTGAACCCAAATACCTGTACTTTCTACTTCTCACATGTTGAACTCAAATACCTGTACTTTC